CTCTAGTAGTCCCAGTAAGTAATCATTGTTATGAGACACACGTCTTGTGTCTTATAACAATGATTATTTTCTGGGACTACCAGGAACGTCTTCTCTAGTAGTCCCAGTAAGTAATCGTTGTTAGGAGACACAAGACGTCTCTAGTAGTCCCAGTAAGTAATCATTGTTATGAGACACAAGACGTCTCTAGTAGTCCCAGAAAGTAATTGTTGTTAGGAGACACAAGACGTTTCTAGTAGTCCCAGTAAGTAATCATTGTTATGAGACACAAGACGTTCCTGGTAGTCCTAGAAAGTAATCGTTGTTAGGAGACACAAGACGTTTCTAGTAGTCCCAGTAAGTAATCATTGTTATAAGACACAAGACGTCTCTAGTAGTCCCAGTAAGTAATCGTTGTTAGGAGACACAAGACGTTTCTAGTAGTCCCAGTAAGTAATCATTGTTATAAGACACAAGACGTCTCTTAGTCCCAGTAAGTAATCGTTGTTAGAAGACACAAGACGTCTCTAGTAGTCCCAGTAAGTAATCATTGTTATAAGACACAAGACGTTCCTGGTAGTCCTAGAAAGTAATCGTTGTTAGGAGACACAAGACGTCTCTAGTAGTCCCAGAAAGTAATCATTGTTACGAGACACAAAACGTTCGACAATATCACAGCATAAAAGTATTGATATCTAGAAATTTAATAGGTTTTGACGTAACTTATTCTGAAATAATTCGATAAAATTATTTTGGAAATTAGATCATTATGAATTAATTTTAATTGTAGTTTAGTTTTCAACCACAAGATAAATACATGCGATTTATTTCAAAATTATTCGAAATATGAAATCAATAAACTATTATCATGCAAATATTTTATAACAGACGTTTTATTATTTGTGGATTTTATTTTATTAGTAATAAGGAAAACTTGTATTACTACAAATGACTGTAAATTTGTTTAAGCGCAAAGATCAAACTCTCGAATTTTAGCGTTATAAGCCCTCGTAACATTTTAGATACTTAGAAGCCGGCTTGAATAATAAAACTTGTCAAACAATACCTCAGATATTTAGAAGCAGGCCTGAACAATAAATCGTAAAAATTTAGTGCTTTCGAGTAAAGTGTGAACAGATAAATTTATCAGCAAATATTTTAGTTGACTCAGAGGCAAGTGTGAAAAGGTAAATCAGACTTTGTTTGTTTGTAATTAAGCACAAAGCTACACAATGGGCTATCTGTGCTCTGCCCACCACGGGTATCGAAACCAGGATTCTAGCGTTGTAAGTCCGCAGACATATCGCTGTACCACTGGGGGGCGGTAAATCAAACAACTAAAAGCTTCGTTACCTTAGAAACAGGTATGAACACTTAAACCTGACAACCAAATGCTTCGTTACCTTAGAAACAGTTATGAACTCTTAAACCTAACAACCAAATGCTTCATTACCTTAGAAACAGGTATGAACACTTAAACCTGACAACCAAATGCTTCGTTACCTTAGAAACAGGTATGAACACTTAAACCTGACAACCAAATGCTTCGTTACCTTAGAAACAGTTATGAACACTTAAACCTGACCACCAAATACTTCGTTACCTTAGAAACAGTTATGAACACTTAAATCTGACAACCAAATGCTTCGTTACCGTAGAAACAGGTATGAACACTTAAACCTGACAACCAAATACTTCGTTACCTTAGAAACAATTATGAACTCTTAAATCTGACAACCAAATGCTTCGTTACCTTAGAAACAGTTATGAACACTTAAACCTGACAACCAAATGCTTCCTTACCTTATTAAACAGTTATGAACACTTAAACCTGACAACCAAATGCTTCGTTACCTCAGAAACTGGTATGATATGGTAAGCATATCACAAAATATTAATCTTCAAAAGCTATACAAGACTTGAAATGACAAATTATCAGCATATATTAGAAGCCTTACCTTTTCCCAACTGTTCCAAAGAGGATAACTTGAGTTGTAATCCATACTCTTTCAACAGTTCTGGTGTGTACGATTCGTATTGTTTCTCTGATACAGAATCCCCTCTTTTTATATACTCTCCTGTATCATTGTCATTTCCTCTTCCCCAAGATAAAGCGATTTTATCATCGTTCTTTCTCCAGTTTGATACATTTTCATCGTTGTCGTTTTTCCAATCGGACGTAGCACCTTTGGCTCCAGAAATTTGTGCACTTTTGTTTTCGTTGTCTCTGTTTCTCGATAGTGATTCGTATTGGTCTCTCCAGGCCGAATGTCTTTCTTCGTTAGGCTTTTGGTCCGAGACTGATAAAGTGTCGCGATCTTTGTTCTGTAATTCGCTTTGGAGATTTTCTTCCCTTCGGACTGAAATGCCTCTTGCTACAATGCCCAAATGTGATAATGGGTTCTTGGTGAACCGGTGTGCTGTGTCGTTAACCACGTCTTTCACTGTATCAACTGTGTTTGTTTGGTGTGGGGTCCGCTCTTCCAACGGTGTCGAATAAATTCGGACTCCCACTACTTTAGGCCAGTCAAATCTGTTTCGTCCCGTTTGTTTTACGTCACTAGACTCGAGCGCCTCATGTCGAGAGTATTTCAAATGTTGTCGTTGTTCTGAAAAAAAAATCAAATATTTGACGCTGCTTTAAAAGAAGAGATAAAATTAAAGAACAACCGTTTCCGTTTTTCATAATAAAATGTTTTATTTGAGATTGTTCTACAGTCTAAAATCAACTCTACGTGTTTCTACGCTTTTGTTGTTACAAAATTAAAGATGTTGCTTAACGTTGTCGTAGTTTTCTAAAAGAAAATACAGAGTAAAACCTACGTATTTTCATCGGTTGCTTGAAGGGTTTAAAAAACTGTACTGTGTTATTGTTGACTGTACTGTGTTATTGTTGACTGAACTGTGTTATTGTTGACTGTACTGTGTTATTGTTGATTGTATTGTGTTATTGTTGATTGTATTGTGTTATTGTTGACTGAACTGTGTTATTGTTGACTGAACTGTGTTATTGTTGACTGTATTGTGTTATTGTTGACTGAACTGTGTTATTGTTGACTGAACTGTGTTATTGTTGACTGTACTGTGTTATTGTTGGATAATATATTCGCATAAAATATCAGGCCTAACTCTCAACTTGAATGACACCTTATGTGGCACATGGACCTAACAACTAGGTTAGTCTCTTCACGTTCAAGTCTACTAATCCCTAATTGAGAACTTCTGACTAGAGGAAAGGCACCCGCCGCCTAATGACTACTCTTAACTGAAAAATTGGTTTGACTATCACTGTTGTTACGTCCCCTTCCTAGTTGAAGAGCGTGTTCAGTGGCGTATCACACCTTGAAGCTTAGACCTTTTGATCCATAGCCCGAAACGTAACCACTCCCGGCTCTTGTTCTATTGGGTATTGGTCATTTGTTAACGCTTTGCTGAAGTTATGCGAAATATCAGGATCTACCCAGTTGACATTTTCACAAGCCTAAATAACTGTTGTAGTTTTTTGTTTCCTAAATTCTTTGTTTCGCTGTTAGAAAATAAAATAGAAAAACAGATATTGTCAACCCACCGTTGTGATATAAGTGAACCAATTAAAGCCGATTTATTGTTAAAGTTTCCTTGTTAAAGCCTCGAAACAAACGTTGTGTCTCAAGAAAAACAATCATTAGAATGGTTTTATGCTGTTCTTAAAATTCTCTCATTGTCAAATAGATTAATACAAAAAATTTCTTACCAAACGTTTCCCAGTCCGCTTCTTCCCTTTGTCGCTTTTCCCTTTGAAGCCAAGCTGGGCCACAAACAGGGTCTTCACTCTCGATGTCATCCTCTCTTCCTGTTAGCTCATCCTGTGCCCTTCTACTTTGTCTAAAGATGGCTTCCTCCTGATAAATTTCATTGGAGTAACCTTGTTTTACTGTGCCAACAGGAAACTGACCGCAGTTATGGCCATCGTGGTCAGAAACTTTCACCAGGTCGTTGATCAAAGCGTCATTAGGCGAAGGGTCGTTGGATATTTTGTAGTTTTTCTTCACCAGGTCGTTGATCAAAGCGTCATTAGGCGAAGGGTCGTTGGATATTTTGTAGTTTTTCTTCACCGTGTCGCTCTTCTTCCAGTGAGCCTGATGATAGACACCAAGATGATCTTTGTTATCATCATTGTTGTCTGGTGCCTCACAGCTTCCAAGGTCTTTTGGGAAAGTTTGAGGATAAGGTAAATAACTAAACTCCCGTTTCTTTGTTGATCCAGAATGTATCATTTCTACCTTATCTGCACTGGAAAATTCTTTTTCTATTAAATCTCCACCTGGTGGCTTGATAATTATAGAGGCAAAAAGTTTCGGTTTTATAGAAGCTGTACGTGTTTCTTCGGAGCTTTTGTCGGAATCTGTCTGCACTTTAAGAGTAGACAAATCTTCTTTTTTCATTAACATCGACTGTAGTTTTTTTTCTGATAAAAAGAATTTAAACAATTAGAAGTTTCAACGGCTAAAACTGTTGAATTAGGTTCATATAAGTTAGCAACCGAAATCTACGTCAATAATTCAAACTGGTCACACAATAATTCCACATAGACAAATCCTTTATTTCTTCTCGTTATGTTATCTCTCTCTTTTTCATTCCTCCCTCTCTCTCTAGCAAAATACTTTTATTGGAAATAACCATTCTCTATTACATACAAATATATTACACACACAAACACACACACACACACACATAGACACACAGACGGGCAGACATAGACAGACAGACACATACACACATAGACACAGAGACAGACAGACACACACACACACATAGACAGACAGACACACATAGACATATAGACACACTCACACGCACACACACGCAGACACACAGACGGACAGACAGACAGACACACACACACACACATAGACACACAGACAGACACACACACATTCACACGCACACACACGCAAGCACACACATAGACATACACACACAGACACACTCACACGCATGCAAACACACACACTGATATAGAAAAGTTAAAATGAACAACAAAACTGAGGAAGGAAACAATAAAAGTTACCAACATATAATTATTGCTCTAAATTAAAATCGTAAAAAAAGAACAATCTTTACTAACCCCCCTCCTTCCTCCCCACCCCCAAAATAAAAACAATATTCACCATAGTTCTCCCAGTCGAAGTTTTTCTCCCGCCTACTGGTCATCTTGTCCATCAGTTCCGATTTCACAGGTTTTTGATTTGAATTAGTTTTGTTTTTAAAAGCTGACGCTACCGTGTTTGTCGCTATCTCCCGTGTAGTTACAGTGTTCACCGCTGGAGGGAAATTATATTTGCCTGCATTTATGAACTGGTTTTCCCTTTTTCGCTTTTCATCCCATCTGCTTTCTAATTCATTTTCTACGTTTTCTCTTGTTGCGCTTATCGACCGCTTAAGACCAGCGTGATCCAGGGTGTTTCGTTCCAATTTGTGTTTTTGTTCCCTTTCTGTGGTAAAATGACATACTCGAACGTTTGTCAACTTTCCTGTTGAATAATCCCCTGGCGGATTTTCATTTTGCTTTCTGCTGGTTTGGCACATTTCTCTAGATTGAGTATGGTCGCTGTGATGGTCATTTGCTTTTTGGCTTCGAGATTTCGCCTGGACATTTGTTTCTTTGCTGAAAGGCGAGATGGATTGTTTCAACCGTTTCACATAGATGGCACCGCTATCGATACTTTTGTCTGCAACAAACAAAATATAAGAAATTTTAAAAACTAAAAACTTGGACAGTAGACTGCAATTAAAATAGTTTGGGATAATACTGACCTATATTCGACCCATACTCCTATTTTTCAAGCACATGTTCAATGTATACAGTTTTTATTAAATCAATTTGTTGAACTGAAATTAACAAAAATTGTCGTTATCAATATTTATTTGAATTATCTGTATTCAACCGTAAATGTCGATCAGCAATAAATCGGCTGACTTAGGTTTTCCAGGACATGTTTTTTTTTAAAGGAAGTTCTTTGGTCTTTAACCACTAGACGGCCCCGGTGGGATAGCGGTAAGCCAATGAACTTACAACGCTAAAATCTGGGGTTGGATTTCCCGCGGTGGACACAGCAGATGGCCAAATGTGGCTTTGTTCTAAAACAAACAAAGTCCTAGACGTGTGTATTCCTGTTATGTTTAATTATCCAACCCGTACGTTAAACTTTAAGTCATAATCTAGAACCATTACAATAGGTATAATAAAACATAGTTTGTTTGTTTGTTTGTTTTTGAATTTCGCGCAAAGCTACACTAGGGGTATCTGCGCTAGCCGTCCCTAATTTAGCAGTGTAAGACTAGAGGGAAGGCAGCTAGTCATCACCACCCACCGCCAACTCTTGGGCTACTCTTTTACCAACGAATAGTGGGATTGACCGTCACATTATAACGCCCCCACGGCTGAAAGGGCGAGCATGTTTGGTGTGACGGGGATTCGAACCCGCGACCCGCAGATTGCGAGTCGAGTGCCCTAACCACTTGGCCATGCCGAGCCAAAACATACTGTAAAACAGGACTGTAG